AGATGTGTGTGACTTTTTGTTAGCGTTGCTAGGACCGCGTCACGCGGCAACCACTTGCCAGGAGCGAATGAAGTGAACGGAGCGAATGGTGCCTTTCCGGGAAGGGTGCGTATGTGGGTGGCTGACAGCTAACATTGTAGTGATTTATGCCAGGAGCGAATTAAGCCGACACTGGAACGAGCTAGTGGTCTTGGTTGTGCAGCACAAGCGAATGAAGCGAATGAACGGCCGGGCCGGGAAGCCAACTCCGCGAAGAGCAACCTAGCGGGCTGTTATACAGGCTCCTCCTGAATATATACCTTATTTAGTGGTCAGGCACAGAGCGCCCATCATGGCCCCTACAGCCCGCCCGAGTGAACGGGCTGTCCCACACACACCCAAACGCACCCACCCACCCACCCACACACACACACACACACACACACACACACACACACACGCATGTGCACACGCGTGCACACACACAAGCCACTGATCAAAGCTACTTTGTGCTGGTCACGGTGTTGGCAGCGGCCGTCACAGCACCACGCTCATGCCAAGGTGTTGAAGCAGTGCCGCTGTTACTCATTATGTCATTAGCCACAAATTGTGTCCTTGTTGCAAGGCCAGTCGGAGTACCAATGTGCACAAGCTGCGCCTATGCGCAGTTACTGCCGAGTTGCGCGGTGCCGGAGCCGGCAGCTGCAAGGATAGTAAAGGCAAGCCTCACACACGCAAGCGCAAAGCAGAGCGTGGCGTTGTGGAGGTCAACCCAGCAAGCCCAGGTATTAGGAAGCCGCAGCTCGAGAGCGGCAGCACGAGTGTCCTCGCCGTCGCCACACCTGCGTGGAAAACGCAGCCTCCTGCGGCACGGCACGCACCCAACCACCTCCGCAGGGTCGCGGTCGCACTCTACTACCAGTTGGCGGGTTGCGTTCATTGTTTTCTTGAACGAACGGAAGACAATAATACGAATGAGGAAGACGGAAAATGATCGTGTCCATTGCAGATGCGCGGCCTTGGCCTTCAAGCTGCCCGAACAAAGCGGATCAGTGCCCCCCAACAACGGGGCCAGCACCAACCGCAGCGGCGCCAGCGGCAGCAGCAGCGCCACCGGCGACGGCGGGGGCAGCAACTTGTGCTCGCGTCTGTCTTGGGTCTCAGCAGGCGGGCCAAGCAGCTCCATAACTGTTCCTGATTTGAAGCCGGCAGCATGAGTGCAAATGCTAGTCATCGCAGCGGCCCACTGATAGGACGCGCCGGCTGCTCCAGCCTCGAAAGGCATACAGTGAGAATTGTGCAGTGAACTATCACACATTTGTAAGCGGGCGCATGTCTTTGCAGCCAGTCAGCTTGGGTCGAGGTGCAAGCAGTGCGGGGATTGGGAGGGGGCGCCGTCCCCTCGCAGCCGCACTGCTCGTGCACTGCCATCTCCCTGTGCGGGCGTGCAGCCACCAGCTCAACACATAAAATGCAGGTGGCGCTTCGTGCCCGGCTTGCCAGCGCCCTGAGGTTGCTTCGGCGAGGTGCGGGAGGGCAACAGATGCACTCTGCTGGTGGCCGGCAATTCCTGGTACACGGCCCCTTGTGTGGCGACATCACGTGTGCACTGGACTCAGCTGAGTTGACCGAGTGCAAGCCCCCATGGTTTTGCAGCACGGCGGCGAGCAAACCGCCAGGCACAGCCAGGCATCGCAGGAAGTACCGTCAACTGCACAAATTGCTTGCTGTTGCGGTGGAAGGGGTCGGGCAAAGGTGGATGCGTCGAGCCCGCCCGGCTGCAAGACCAAGGCCAACCCCATTGTAAATTTGCGAGTGCGACAACCCCAGTGCTGTGTAATGGACGAACCGCCCAGCGTCAACCGGCGCACTGCCATCAGCTGCGCCTGAGTGTGCGGCCCGATCCCCTGGACGAGCCCAGCCAGGCGTTGGCGACGAAGCTTGCTGGGGCGCACGGTGCAACGCCAAGCCCCAACCTCAGCTCAGCCAACTCCGCAGATGTCAACGCCAACTTGCGCAGCGCATCAGATCGCATTGGGTCGCAACCGGTCACGACAGGTCAACCGTCGAAGACGCTCGACACCTTGCCGGTGTTGACCGACAGGCTCTGCGCGGCCGACGCGCCCGCCTTGTTGGCCGCAACGACCTGGATCAGGAAGACCGGCCGCGGGCGGCCGGGCACAAAGGGCTTCGTTTTGAAAACGATAGAGCCCGCCGCGTTGCTGTTGGTCAGAGGGATCACCACCTTTGTGGATTTGAGGGTCTCAATATTCAAGATCTGGACGTTGTACTGCGGGGCGAGAGGGTTTGGCAGCGGCACGCAGGCCGGCGGAAAAGCAGCGGGTTGCGAAAAGTGTGGGAGAGGAGTGACACCATCATTCAAATCTGAATCCCTCAGTTGCAATAAAACTCGAGTCGACAGCTTGCACGCGGTCGCGTTGCCCCGTTTTGCTGCTGCTGCCGGGGCCCGCGGGCAGCCGCGGGCCGCACCCGTCTGCCCCCGCATCCCTGCCCGCGCCGCGCCAGTGTGGGCTCGCGCACCTGCCGCACGCACGCATTGCCCTTTGGCAGCCCCCACGCCACCCGCAGCTCCGCCTGGCCCCCAACGTCTGAGATGCTCCGCAGGTGGACGTCCCGCACGCTGCTGGGCGGCGCGCCCTCGGTGCACGCCAGCTCCGGCGTGGGCGTGGCGCAGGGCGCGGCGCGCTTTGGGATGCCGTCTTGGAGGTCGCACACCACCAGATCAGCGGCCGGGAGCGGCTTGGACAGATCTGGGGGATGACACGAAACACATAAGAAGCAAACATTGCGGGCGCCGCGGTGAGGGCGAGGAAGGCGGGGTGCGGCGCGTTAGCTTTTACGGCGCGTTGGCGGGGGTGGTGGTTTTGTGAAACAGCAGCGCACGTCGATTTTTGGGGTGTGCTCTAAGCGTGGGGCGCCAGAGTGATATCGAAAGGTTGCGTTGCGTACGTTGCTGCGGAGCGATGGCTTGAAGTAATCATCGGTGACGGCATTTTGGGAGGAGCATGCAATGCCGTTCGCGGCGAGATCCGGCCTAGGTCGGCCAACCCGCCCCTTGCTCTTGCGCGTTGGCATAGGCTGTGGGCGATAAAGCCGCCCAGCGCTGCGGGGGCGCTCCACGCCGCCTCGGGGTCCGGGGAGCGTGGCAGGTGCTGGGCTCCTGTCAGACGCCCCCTGTGCGCGGCGCGTCGCGGCCGAGGTAGTGATGTCCACGACCCCGCTCGATGACTCGCGCGCGGGGCACGGTCCAGGGCCCGCCCACCTTTGATGACGCGCGTGTTGTCCCTCAGAAGCTCCTTCAGGTTCATCTGCAGGTCGTTCGCCATCTTTGACGGCCAGGTGCCGGGGGGCGCCCGCGTGATGTAGCACTCTTGGGGGGCGGCAGGAGGAGCGGGGCGGCGGGTGGGGCTGGAGGGGGGCAGGGAGGGGCGCCGTTCGCTCGCTGCGGTGTGATTGATGGTCGTTGCCCAGAGCCGCAATTCGTTCCACACAACTCGAATCGCACATAATCGGCGGCCGAGGAGGCATGATGCGCCACGGGCTTGGAGGCTTGAAGGAGTGGCGGGAGGCTGAGAGCTGCTGGGGGCAGGCGCCGCGGCATCGGGCTGACAGCCGGGCGCGCCTGTCAAACCGGAGCAGCCTGGGGCGCTCCAGGGCCCGGCGCGCGGCGCGCCAGGCGGGTACCGCGCCGCCGCACCTCGCCGGGTGGGGTGGTGGCAGAGGCGGTACGATAGCCTTGGGGGCGTGATGGGGTTGAAGATGATGCCATAGGTGTCATCGGGCGACAGGATCCCGGTGCCGGTCGCGTCGTAAGATATTTTGCCGTAGCCCCCCATCCCCCAGTCGGGGCCCCACGAGTTCTTGAAGATCCTGGAGGGGAGGGGGCGGGGGGTTGAAGTCGCATGGCGCGAAACACTGCAGTTCCAAGGGATGACACGCGCAGCTAGCCGTCTGCCTGACAGCTGTTGAGGCTGCGCCGCGAGCGCAAGCGGGTTTGGCGAACCATGGCGGGTCAGCGAGATGGGCCGCTGCAGGCCGGCCGCAAGCACAAGAGCAGGAGTCCTCCCGGGGGCCCGCGCTGGCGAGTGCGATCTCCTCCTGCATGAGTCATGCATGCCCAGCCCCTCCCCTTCGACGATGGTAAGAGGCGCGAGCCAGCACGGCCGCCCGTGTGACTGTACGGCCATTCGCCCAAGCGGGGGCGTCCGCACGCACCAGTAGCCTGAGGCAGGCGGCGGCGGCGGCGCGGCCGGCGGGGTAGGCGGTTGTGAAGCGGGCGCATTGGGGAGCTGCCGCGGGGCGCGCACGCGACTCGGCTGACCCTTCAGGCCGGCGCTTGCGCAGTCGCAGTGCTTCCGACCTCCACACGCACGCGCTCCCCGGCCGGGCCTCGGCGCCGCCCCCTTCCCCCGTTCCCCCACAACGGCCCCTGCGCCCCACTCAACACATTATACGCACTCACGCTCAGCATTGTTGTACCCGACCAGTAGTACCGAGTGGGCGATCTGGAATACTGCACTGCTGGGACCTGAGTAGACGCCAGAGCGGCTCGCCTTGAAGAAGGGCTTGAAATCTGACCAGATGTCCAGGCGCGTTATCACGCCGCCCCTGAGGTTGCGGGGTATTTCTGGGGATTTAAGGACGAGCTTGGCATCAGGCCGCACCGTGCAGCGCCACTGACATCGCAGCAGGCGCAGGCAGGGGGACACCTGAGGCCGCGCGTCGCTCCTCAGCCAACGCGGCGGTGGGCTGGGGCGCGGCGGCGAGCGGGGGGCAGTCTGCGGGGAACGCGCCCCGCAACAGACAGTTGGCGTTGCGCACCAGTCGCGTATATGTTTTTGGACCTCCATGGGGCTCCCCAATTTAGTAAATCCGATTCTCCCCGCCGACAGATCCGGATCCACATCGTTGCACTTCCTGGAGAGCGGGGTGGCGGGGTACATGGTAATCAGGGCAGGAGGGAGGAGGCCGCTAGAGGCGGGGGGAGCGCTGGTGCGGGAGGGGCCACTGGGTCATGGGGGGGGGCCCGCAACAGCAGCGACTTGGCGCGGACTTGTGCGGGGCTGTACAAAACCAGACGGCCCTTGTCGTGACTCCTTTCATAACCCTGCTGCGACTCGTGTCAGCCCAGGTGCCACCTGTCGCAGTTGGGCTGGAAGTTGCTGGGGGCGTAGGGCAGGCAGCGGTCCAGGATGATGCTTTTGGGTCTCTCCCCCATCCCCTTGACGGCGGTGTCCACGCCGACGGAGGTGCTGCAGCCCGTCAACTCCCCGGGGCTGCCCACGCCGCCGCAAAAGTGGAAGTTCTGGGGGCGCCGGGCGCGGGGGCGGCGCGGGCCGACAGAGGGACAGTGGGTGTTGGGCATACGAGCAGAGGCTTCGGCGCGTGAGCGCCGCTAGCAGCACAAGGGGCCCTGCGCTATGCAGCCGTCGCAGTCGCAGCCGTCGCAGGAGAGCTTGTATTGGTAAGAGGGCGCAGGCGGGTTTGGGCAAGGCGCCGGTCAGACATGGCTGCCACGGGCACCTGCACAGAGTACTGTTTCTCTCTCGCGTCCCTCTTCAGGGCCGCGGCGACTGCCGCCTCGACGGCGCTCATCTGCGAGGGGTTGTGTGTGTGTGTGTGTGTGTGTGCGCGCGTGCGTGCTTGCATGCATGCATGCATGCATGCGTGCGTCGTGCATGCGTGCGTGCGTTGTGCATGCGTGCGTGTGTGGGTGTGTGTGTGTGTGTGTGTGTCAGTGTGTGTGTGTGGTGGGGGGGTTGGTGCGGGGGCTGCTGCGGCCGGTCGGAGGACGCCACGCCCTGCATGCGCCCGCATGCATGAATGCATGCGCAAATGCATGCGTGCATGCACCAATGCATGTATGCATGCACCAACGCATGCATGCATGCGCGAGGGGGTCCGGAGCGCCCTCTGCTCTGCGTCGGCGTAGCGCCCCTGACGACAGTCGCAGGCGAGCAGGTGCGGCCCAGGGCCAGGGGCAGGGTGGTAGGGCAAGAAGCCTGCTGGGGCCCAACACATGTCTGGCAAGGCCCCCACAATTACAAACCCACTGAAGCCAGCAGCACCACCAACCCCGACTCCCACCAGCGCGGAGGCCGTGCACGTGGTGCAGGCGCCCTGGTCCCTGACGGGCGACGCCAGCCGCTGCGCGCGCGCGTCGAACGCCTGTGGGCTCGCCGCGAAGGTCAGGGCGTCGGAGGACTCCGAGCCGGAGCTGCTGCCGCACATTGTTTGGGAGTTGCGGGAGCAGGCGGCCGCGGGGTTGTTCTTGAAGAGCGTCGTGAAGCGCTCTGCCTGGGACGTCAGCCTGGACAGCGCCGCGTTCTGCTGTACCGCAGCAGTTTTGGTGTAGACCGAGTCAGCCCCGAGGCCGGCCGAGGCGGCCTTCTTCAGGCCCTGGGCCGAGACAGGCGGCGGCGCCGGCAGGAGCAGCAGCAGCAGCAGCAAAAGCAGCGCCGGCAGCAGCGGCGCCGGCGGACGGAGGGGCGGCGGCGCCTGGCTGAAGGCGGCCGCGGCCGCCCCGGCCGCCATGGATGTAACGCGGTGGTGGTGTGCAGCTGCATGGCGGGAGACAAAAAGAACGAAATGGGACGATCAGACACTGTTGGTGCAAACATGGCCTCCATTGGTGGGCCCACCGCTGTGGCCATGCGCTGCTCATGCACCAGGCCCAAAACAGCTCGTGGCACTGGGTGATGGCGGGTAGCCGACTTACATCCCATACGAGTGCGTAATTCTTCCGAAAGATGTAAGCTTTTGATTGCGTATCTGGACGCAGCCACCCGCGAAGAAGCTGGCACCAGCACGCGACTTTGCACCAGGTTAACGCTGCCCACCTGAACGTTGCAGCATCAACAATTTGGTTGAGTCTACAGTGGGATCCTGGGTTGCTTGAAGTGCCCGGCAGCACTGGCAGCGTATGGCATGCCTCTAGCAGTGAGGAGAAACGTGCAGTGTTTTCGAGCTCGCGTTGCAGATCCACAAGTGTAGCAAGGTTGGTCACGCTCAATCGACCGTTCACCGATCCTCGTGGGCACTGGTTGCGAGACCAGTGTCACCCAGCCACGGACACTGGGGGGGCACCCAGCCCGACACCACATTCCACGATCAAACTCGTGCTGGCACTTCAAGAAGCATCCCTACCAAAGTCATAGATTCAACTGCACCAGCAATATCACCCAAAGTGGACCCGCCCAGCCAGGAGGGCGCTGCCACCCAGCGACTGGGCCCAAGATTCCTGCCGCTGCTTCGGCCCGATGGCGCTCCAGTGCTGGGCCACTTCTGCGCAGCGCACCCGCAATCCTGCTTGACACCGCCTTTGATTCATTGCAGCTATAATAACATATGATGAAACGCTCCAGGGTCAACACCGGGTCTAACATATACACCGAGCAATACCAGGAAGTGCGCAACACAATTGCACGCGGCTGCAACACGCGTCGCCCAGGCGCCGCAACTAAAGCGGCCTCGTCCTTTGCCTACGCCTCCATCGCAACCGCTCGCCCCGCGCCAGCAGCGCCGCCGCCGGCCGCCGCGCCCTCCTCCTGGTCGCCCCGCCCCCGCGCGTCCCGCCGCTCGCCGCCGGCGCCGCCCACGACAAACTCCCCTGCGGGGCGGGGCGCGGTTGCCGGGGCATCGCTCTCGGCGCCGCGCGCGGGGCCTCGGCCGAGGGGCGGTCTGGGCCCCTCTTGGCGCCTGCCGTCGCCCCCTTCTCAGCCCACAGCCACAGGCAGCCTGACGGCGCAGCAGGTGCCTGGCAAGAGGACCCCCACCTGGGAGGCGCAGGGCAAAGGGGTCAGGCGGCCCACCTGGGTTGATGGTGACCGTCTTGGTCGCGTTGTCCGTCTTGTATATGCCCACGAGCCTGTCGGCCAGCTCGAACATGTTGTTGCGGAGGCTGATGATGACAAACTGCGCGTCGCGGGTGCGCTCCTTGATGTAGTGGCCAACTGGGGGAGTGAGGGGGTGAGGGGTTGGAGTCGAGTGGAGGGAGGTGATGAGGGACAAGAATGGAGGGCATGTGAGTGCATGTCTGCGCGTGTGCGCGTGTGTTTGTGTGTGTATGTGCATGCGTGTGTTTGTGTGTGTGTGTGTGTGT